CAGCAGGATTTAACAAACATTCTCGAATTGCAAAAGGCTAGAAATAGCTTACACCAAAATTTGTTGCAACAGCTATGCCTTTAGTTCTCAGAAGAAAACTGGTGTCAATAAAGACATTCCACCAGGTGTCTTGAAATCTAAAAATCAGTTCCCAGCCTTGTAAGTACTACACGTGATCTTCAAGAAGCACTGCTAATATGTACAATAACTGGTTTTTCACTTGCTGTCAGTTTTCGTAATAAGTGCTTTAGACTGGAGACACCTCAGCGCCTGTAGAGCTAGCACAGTAAGGCCATCGACACAGGGCTACAGTATTGAGACTTTTGTCAAATAGGATGCCTGACCAGCATGACATTCGCACTCACATCCCAACACTTGGCATGAAGCCTGCGTTTACTGCCTCCATTAATCCTATGTATATTGCTACATTCTGTCTGAAATGACCCTAGCTATTCAGCTATCATCAACTGTTAGATAATTCGCTCAAATGTGGAACTAAAGCAATCAAAACACCAAAGGAATTTAATTTCCCTAATAAGTGTTTTGATCTAAAATGTTTACTCAGATTTCTGAGTTTGTGCAAGAAGTAAACATCTGTAACTTAGGAAATGCAGTAACTGTCTACCTAAGACATTTTCATTTATAATCTCCTTCCATCCCTAATATAGTAAATTTGAAGTGACTTCAACAAAAAGAGACCAAGAGTCTCATACCAAAATATCTTAGCCAGCAACCTACTGGATATTTACAGAGGACGCCCAAATTCCTTCAGAAAGAAGGGACACAAATTTTCTTTACCCAGTGAACTACCATGCACAGCTGTGGTACATTCAAAACTTGAAATTGAACTGATCTAGACAAAACCAACTACTTCATAGTCTGGTGTGACTCTAGTTCCTATGCCCACGACTGCTTATTTTACAAAAAAACAGCCTGCAAAGAAGTACAAACAGTTCTGAGAGCACAAATGTCAGCCCAGGACAGCTTCCTCCTGGCCAGGCCAAGGTGGCACCCAGCAGCTTGCTCAGCTGTGGCATGAGGCTCATGCTCTCACTTCCACCATCCCCTAGCCTCGCACAACGCCCAGCTTTGCCAGCACAGGTAAGAGGCGACTCCATTCACAGCCAGGTCTGGCGCTGAAGGATAGGACATTCTCCTAGCACACACAGATCATGGGCTTCAGCCTTTCAAGAGAAGGGGCCTGTAGCTACAGCTTTATGGGTAAGTGCTTCAGCCCTCACAAACTCCTACTTAAAAAGTTACAGACCAACCCACAACCACCTTCTCATACATGCATTTTCAAACAGCATGTGCTAGACTGCAAAGGTGCATCGTTATTTCGAAATTATCAGCACTCAAGAGCACTAAAAAATGCAACTAATCTTGGAGGATTACAATCTGCAGCAAGTAATGCTCAAATGAAAATTAATAATTGAATGATCTTAAATATTTGACTACATAATTGACCATACTAAATAACCTCTGAACATATTAACAGTTCAAAGGCTTGTTCCTTCAAAGACAAAAAATACTAATGATTTCACCAGCCATTTAGAATGCAAGTTAAACATCTGATAAACAGCTTTCAGGCTAAATTCTAATTTGATGCAATAAATTCTTTATTCACTCTATTTCTTGAACTGGAAACAATTTGAGCCTGGTTGTGGTGCGTCCTCCTTATGAAAAAAACAAGAGAGAAGGCTTTGTGTTTCTGAGGGTTTTTTATTTATTAGTAGTAGTTACGTTTTCATAACTCCAAAGAAAGGGCTACATTAAAACAATGCAAGTAAGTCATGGAAACATCCTTAGATAACCTAAAAATGAGAAATTTACTGGCAAATACAAATGTGCATACCCTTCTTTGTAAGGACATGCTCTCAAAACAGTTCATGTCATCACTTCCCTGAAACTGGAAAGAAAATGTAACTTCTGCCTCCTGAAAAGACTGAGGTAATATATGAGTTTTTCTATCATGCGGTAACAAGCTGTCCTGGTACAAACCAGAAAAGTAATTTCACACTTATCAGAAGAATGCCTTAATGTTTCTATGAATGGATGTTTCTTGGAATCAGGAGAGGTGCCTTTGGCACATAGCATGGTATGTTTACTCATTGTTTTAGTGATGCTTTAAGAAATACAAACTTTTGACACCACACAAATGTTTGCGTATCTTTTCATTGCATGCAAGTGTCTTCTGGATATTTCAATTAGTATTAAATGTGTATGGTTAATTTTAAATTATTAGAAACCATCATATGCTGTAATGAAAAAAGATAATCACATTTTTGTCCAATTTTCAAAGCAAAAAGTAAAATAAACTGAAATTTAAGGGGAGTCCTGTACAGTTTTTCGAAGTCTGGGAAAGCCAAGCCAAGACTTGATTGTAGAGATAAAAAGACTACTCTAGCAAAAAAAAAAATGGAGGCAAAGGTTACATTTAAGTACCTTGAGACAGTCACCATTTGAAAGCATTGCTAAATATCAACTAAACCACTTACTGTGATTTTGGTAGCTTTGTTCAGAACATTTACCCATTCAACTAGGTCCTGCTGATCATTGGCTTGTAGAAAGTATTTTCTCATCCCTGCATTCATAACTGTTAAAAACCATTATGAAAAGTTAAAACCAGCAAAATTTAACAGCAAACTTAACACCGTCATAAAGAGATTTGATTTCAGATGGAAAACCCAGTTGAAGTATTTAAGCTCTCTGCTCCATTTCTTTTTAGAAAGTCATCTTCATACATACTTGACTGGCTTGCTTTATTCCAAAACAAATCTATTTTTTTTTAAGCTCTGCACTTCAACAGCATCATACAGGATTTGTTAAATGTTATTACACAGAAATAAAGCCTTGAATTTTGTCAGAATTTCCTACAGCTCTGTTTCCCTTTTCTCAATTTCCCTAAGCAACGAATTTCTCTACTTGGGGACTTCTACAATTTCTCCTTTTAATCCTCTGACCAGTATCTGTTAGCTTTTGCAACAAACTCATTAACATGACTATGATCACTGATTTTTTTTTTTTTTTTTGTGGAAAAATCGGTATTGATTACTAAGTATATGATGCTCAGGACCAAACAACTTTAAAATGGCCAGAACATAAAACTTTAAAACTTTATTTTACTTTAGTGACTCAGCAGAGAAAGCATATTTTTACTAAGTTTATATATCTACCTGGCAACACCTAGCACACCTTTATCCCAAAAGGACAAACACATTTCTGTGTAACAGTAAAAAAAAAAAAAAAAAAAAAAAAAAAAAAAAAAAAAAGGAAATCACAGCTGGTTTTCTTACAAATTCTAAGAACTTATCTTGAAATTAGTTTTAAGGTGAACAGTGACTAAAACCTTCCCAGTATTGAAGTATTGTAGCTAAAGTCTGAACAGATTTTGCTGCTCTACCTATAACATAACAGTTCTTCAGGTCATCGCTAACAGCAAACACATGCCAGAAACATACTTTTTCCTCTTCTATCATCTTTCTCCCCGAAGTGAATGGTTTGAAGCAAACGTTATTAGATGCAAACATAAATTCAAAATACAGAACTGTATAATGAGTTGATTGAAACAACTCAACGGTATTTAAATAAAAAGACAATAAATGTAAATTCTTCCTCTACAAAGTATCAAAACCACTTTGATAAATGAGAAACTTTAAAAGCTTTCAACCAGCGCCTTGGATCATTAAGGCGTTTTAGAACTGGCCCACTGACAAGAGCAACTTTACCACTGATGAAGACAAACACCTCTACACATGCACGTGCAGAGGAATCTGTAGATGGCACTGAATTAATATACTAGGTATTAGTCTAGAATCCCTGAAGCTTTCCACACAGGGGTGATTTACCAAGTGTTTCATGAGCTCCAACACAGAGACTGCACAAGTCTGGTGGAGCTGCCTTCCCTGGGCCCATGTAACATTGCAAAGGACACCTTAACTAATTGTCATAAAACCTTCAGGCATTTTCAGCACCTTCATCCGAGCTAAACCTCTTAGGTGAACGCAGCCATAAAGAATGGTTATTCATAAACAGAGCAGAGGCCAATTCCAGTCTCTATACATACTTTTGTGAATGCCAATTGTTTGTCAAAGAAAATCTGAAATTATGGTAAGTTCTGGACAAATTACTTTAAGAAAAATCTAAAAGAATACCTTAAGGGGCTTTTATGATCATCTAAAGCTTTACTCAAGATTAAACAGGTTTAAGTATCAATAGATCTAGAAAGTACGCCAAGCAAATTCTTTTAGTTCAGTGCAGCAATAGGGGCTGAAATTTCACATAAGAGCATTGGCTGACAGTATTTTTAAATCAATTAAATCAACTCTTTTGTAAGTAACACAGATTAAAATAGTTAAACTACTCGTCTTCATAGCTGACAGGCATGCCATGTTTCTGAAAACACCCATCATTTCTGATTAGCTTATTAATGTCTCAAAAATTTCAAACATCTGGAAAACAGCTCTGACCTACTCATTACACTGCAATATGAAAAGCCACAAAAAACACCTTATGAAAAAGCCAACATTTCCCCCGTACTAAAGAAGAAATGGTGAATACAAGCTATTTTTAGAAAATACACTACCAGATGTATCTAGTAAGAGAATTGCAGAACTCTGTTTCAAATATCTGAAGAACATACTTGATGCACATACTGCAAGTAAGAACTTACCAAAACAGAATTCTGCCTTTGGCCTTAGCTTAGTTGCATCGCTAACCTAGTAGGGAAATTAAGATTGTAAGTATCACTGTGCATACAAAATATACATCACATAAAACTTTTTTTTTCCTCTTTCAAGTGGCTAAATTTGAAGATTAGCAGCGTAGCAAGACTGTTAGGTATAAAGATATACAGGTATAACAAAAAATACTACACAAAATTCAGTTCAAGATGTGCAACCTATGGTGAGAAGAAAGTTTAAGCCATCTGTTCCTATTTCTTAAGTTTAAGGATTCATTATCAGACTAATGTTGAAATCTGAAAACATAACACTTCTACTTGCATTTTGAAGTCCTACATCTCAACTGAACTAGAAACTCAAGGACATTTCATTCTTAAGGACATCAGTTGTATTTTGGTTCATTAACATAAGAAGAAAAACAGCCACTTCAGGAGTCTCTAAAATGTTGCAGTGTTGGGGGAGGAGAGAAGCGGGTGTCCTGTTTTGCGAGAAGTGTTGATATTTTTAGATTATAGAACACTTCTATCAAGGGTGGGGGAAAAGGCAAAGCAATCTCTCACATCAAAACCTTTTTTTTGGCTACAAGACACACATACCATGTAACTAGAACTATGGGAAGTTAGACAGTACATCTGCACAGAAGGCACACTTGAGCTGCCTTCGAAGGTGCGCACAGGTGCAATGGCACAGGTAACCACCCCTGTTCCCATTAGAAGTGAGATACAAGATTTCAGATTTCTTAAAATGATAACTGTGAGGTTTGGGGCAAAATAAGCACAGAAGGAGGAAACCAGGAAGGACATAAGCAGGTCTCCAGAGACATTTTTGTACTCATGATATAACCAGCGTCAATGATACCTTTTACAAGAATAAACACAAAACAAGGAAGGTGGGAAGATGCAGTATGACAAGAAGAAAAGCAAAGGAAGGATGAGAAACGAGCAGAAAGACAAGAGGAGGCCAACTGTTTTTCTCCACTTATTTGTCACTGCATAGTCTCCTACAAATTTAACCATGGAGACTTTCTTAGTTCACAGTTTTCTTTCAGACATATTTGGCAGTGAGCGTATACATAGCATAATGAACTATGTATTTTCTAGAAATTGTTTTGTTCTACCTATTAAAGATCATTAGTAAAGATCATTATCACACCCAAAGACTTATCTTCCACTTCATAAATAGCCTGTCTTTTCTCCAAGACTAACTGGAACTCAACCACTCAAAGAGAAATCCTAATTTTACGCAGCACAAAGAGCTGCCATTTGAAAACACAAATCAAACCTAGACAACACGGTAATTAGTCTGTTCTTATTTTAACCTGATACTATTGAAGTGTTTGTAACACTTCTCTAAAATTCAGAAGTAGCACACAAGCAAAAAGCTTCCAATGCGCTACATAAGAGGCTTTTAAAATTGTCCAAAGTTGAGGCCTTCAGAAGCAGCCCCACAGTTAAGCAACAATCTTATCTAACATCTTGTCTTACCTTTGAAATATAGGTAAGTTTAATGACTCCAACAGGTGGAGATCCAGAGGGAAGATTCTGAAACAAATCATATGTTACAAAGTGAAACTAGTTTATTCTCCTATCACAGTCAGTGTTTACGCATAAAAAGCAAATAACTCAATTCCACAAACAAAAAGAACATCCTACGTGTTTTTATAGACAATACACAATGTATTCTTGAAACAGGATCTAAACTACTTGTTTATTATACACACATCTGTTAATAAACTAAAAACAGAAAGACTGCTAGAAACAATACAACTAGTAATTGTTTCAGCAGTTCATGTATTTTACTAGAGGAAAAAGGATTCTTGCAGGTCTGTATCCAGGAAATCCGGAAAGAATACTTTTTCCTTAACAGATGTTGGCGTGTCATATATTTTGACCAGGGCAGGCGGAAGGGACAAGAAATTACATTCATCAATTATATCAGATACTTCAAAGGCTGTCCCACATATTTTCCAAAGCTGATTGAAAAAAAAAAAAAAAAAAAAAAAATCAGTCTTTTAATTTAATTTGAATATTCAAGTTATTGCAAGGAAAGACCACAATACATCCTAAAGTTGCATTTAAGCTTGAGTATATTTACAACCCCAAAAGGAGCTGCCTGTTGGTTTTTTACATCCTTGCTTAGCACGCTCGTCTTAGCATCTACATTAGTATTCACTAACAGCTAGTAGCTGAGAAATACAATAGAAAGAACTCAGCATCGCAAATCATGGTTAACTTTTTAATTAACTGTTTCTGGTGAAACAGCCTTTTTAATTGTATTCCTTTAAAAAGAGCATTGTTTTCATATTTTTTTTTTCCATTACGATTTTTATTTTGAAAATGGCCCTTTATGTTACAGTATCATTCTTCCCACTACAGCCCTCCCTGGAGACCATAAGAAAGGTACTGCATCTACTCACTGATCCTTTCCCCAGCTAAAGTGCTCTTTGTTATTCTGTAGCACCCTACGAGCTTCCACATCATAAAGAGAAACCTAATGCTACCCACAAAGTCAGGAAGACGGACAAATAATTGTTTTATACTCCATTCATATATCAAAGGTAAGTAGTAGGTTAGGTTTACTATAGACTAGTAACACTGAAAGAAAAAAAAAAGTCTTCCCATCCTACCCAAATAAATAATTTTAAATTTTACTTTATCAGAATGATTTTGATCCCAGCATACACTAGTTCTATAATCTTTATATTAGGATAATAATGTGTGGTTAACGGTGGACTTAAAAACATTATTTCTTTGAATAGCTGAACTGATTTTTAGATGCAAATAGAGCACTTCTATTGGCAAAAAAGGGGCCCAGTGAAGTTCTGCACACACTCTACAGTCATCCTATTTGAAGAGTTTCATCACTTCAAGGATTAAGTATGGTCTCCACACAGTGGCTCTATAAAAACTCTGTAGTTCTTCAAAACTTAAGCAGCAGTAGAAGAAAATCAAGAAGCTACAACTTGCGCCTTGCAAGGCACACTTGCATTTGTGCATGAACTCTAACATCAAAAAAGATAGATAAGAAAGCCTAAACTAAAAACTTGAAGAGGTGTACACCGTAAATATCACTTAAAACTTCGATGAACTGCAGTTTCTACCGCATTTCAAGTTTTTGCCCCCATGCCCTGGTTATATCACAGGAGAAACTGAAGAAAAGAACTGCTTCATATTGCTCATTGAGATCAAATGTTTGAAGTCTCTTCTTTCCAGAAATTATTTCTTTTTTCTCCTCAGTAAGAACTTCTGAATGCTTCAGTCACAAGTCACATTCGTTGAACTACACATCTAATTATTTTTTTTTTGGTGGTGGTGGTTCCTTTGGACAGTAGACTTCTTCATTTTAACTGTGGTCTTCCTGGCAGAATGGTACACAAATATTCTGGCCGACAGTTGTCTGCTGACCTAGATCCTATGCTTTCACTGCCTCCATACCCAAACCCAAAGCAATTAGCTGTTCTCCCCTATACTAGAAAACACATTGATGTGTGCACATTGTAAAATTGGCTTTTATATAAAGGATGCTCTCCATCATGACGGATACGAGATTTTTGCACTCGCATACCACTCGTGCTGTATTGAAACTGCAAGCAGTTAGAAATTGCTTCTCAACAACTGATTCAGTTTAAGTAAAGTAAGATAAAACTGCTAACTGACCCATGCAATGCAGGGAAGGCTACATACTTCCACATAGGGTTAAAGGTGAATTAAAAGACCTGAAATAAACTAGTATGTGATTTGACTCATCTGGTTATATTACATAGCACTACCTAGTGCCTGCAAGAACCTGCAACGCACATTCAAGGCACTTGATAGAAAACAAAACAAATACAGCACATCATGATTCAAAACAAGTAACTGATTTGCTGTGGTATCAAATTCAGATTCCTACCTGGTCCCCAAATCTCCTGGCAGCAATTCACTGTTATTCAAGTTGGTTTTAAAGTTTTAGTACTAGCTGCAATTGGTAATATTTTGAACAGAAATATGATTTTTTCTTCTTTTAAATATTGCACTTATTAGCAAAGAGGAGACACTGATTTACAATGATTTCACTTATGTAACTCCCCCCCAGCTTCCAGGTTCATAAGCTAATATTAAAGCCCATTTTTCTTAAGTAAATTTGTTAAAAACCTAAAAAAGTTTAAACCAATAGAAACCAGGTAATTATTGCCAAGAACACCTCACCTGTGGGTTATCCATGTACCACACCAGACTATCTTCTCGTGTGTCCAGAATAAAGTACCGCCGCAGAAATTTCCCGCTATTCTCATTTTCTTCAATATCTAGGAAACCACAAATGCGATTCTGACGATCCACATAAGGCATTTCTGACCCTGAACATCACACTGCAGAATAAAAAGCATAGAAGTTAAGCCTATGTTCTCCGTTACTTATTTTAAGACTGTTCTGTGCCTACTCATGACATTTTGAGCAGTTTCAACTAGTAGCTTAAGGTTTCTACAGAAGAATAAGTGAAGCATAGCGGTTTCCCCCCACTACCACCACTGAATTTTTAGATAGGTCTTTCTTACTTCTTTGAAACATATACTTAGGACACCTAATACCCTAAGTGCAAAGATACAAGTGGTAAATAGTAGATGAGCATCAAGACTAGCTTTTACAAGACCACTAAAGAATAATTAAAGATTCTCCTTCACAAGTAGGTTTACACTAGGTTTATACTTCCTCCTTTGACATTGCCTTTCATGGTCAAGAAAGGATCTTTGTCAGCAGCTCTACCATCCAATGTGATTTTTCATATTTTGGTTAAGCAAATTCAACAAAAAGGCTTTTAGAAACATCATTCACATTTTTCTTTTCTCCTACAAAAAGAACTTCATGTCTAACAATGTCTAAGAACAGACATCTTTCCATCCTTGTACATTAAATAGTCAAAATGAAGTTGTATGTGCAGCAGAGATGTGAACACACAGTATAAAACTGAAAACCTCAATATCCACGTGGTACTCAGTTTGAGGGTGGTAGGCTTTTTTTTTTATTTTGGGTTTTGGGGGATTTTTTTTGCCTTTTTTTGTTTTGGTTTAAAAAAATAAAAAAAAAAAATCTGTACTGCTGACCACCTATTCCCATTTGCCTGCTTCACCTTTTATGGCTCTGTCTCACTGCAGGCTGTTGCATCATGGGGTTTTTCTGCTTCCTTTTATTTTACAGGAGAGTCATTTTACCTTAAGAGCCAGCCTTTTAAGATCAAAGATAAATTTGCATACCCATCTAAAAATGGCAATAAACCAACACTTAAATACAACAAAAATCAGGTCAATGCCAATCTTTTCCAGAGCAGGAAAGAAACAATTCAGTCTTTACATTCTGTTACAAAACTCAGTACATATCCAAAAATACTAACATGAGACATAGAAAGTTTAAGCACATCACACTTTTCATACCATCTTCCAGCTTTCACTGTTTAACATAAAAGTTTCTTTTTAATATTTCTTGAAATTGTTTTCCTTTACTGTTTCCTTGCTTAAAGTTATTTGATTTAAATATAGTTATATACACACACAACATGAGGCAGACCCCTGATAACTATCTGTAGCTAGCTATTCATACACCACAGTAAAACATGATGTACAGTTAAGCACATTTTAAAGTGTCTTGGGGAATAAGATATAGATAAGCATATATTTATTTTTGGGGATCAGATATAAAAATATGTAGATATATGCCTGTATTTACAGTTGTCCTTTTATATGACTAATTAGAATACTAGCCAGATTTTGCTTCGACCACTTTGAGTAACATTTTTTTTCAAAATCTATCATCATTATTTTGATACCAGACTAGAAGAATTTCCAGTAAACAGTTTTAAGCCATTTAACTCAATCTGTAAAATTACTAACCTTTTCTGTGCCCAACACCAAACTAATCCTCTGGTGCAAACCCAAGTCCGATACATTAAGTTTGGCATCAGGGACCAGATCTAACAATCTCAGTTCAGCAGTATTTCCAAAAAGTTGAACAGACTGCAATATCACAGGGATGACGGACTATTAAAATCGTTAGTGATTTGGTTTTTTTTTTTAAATATAAGCTATTAATTCTAAAGTTAAATGCATTTTTGTGTATAACAAAGTTAACACACTTTGTCTGAGATGCAAGACATTTTCTATATAGCTACAAGGACATTAAATGTATATGAGCTTTCCATTAAGCACTTGACTGTTGTATTTTTCTTTCCACCTCCACAAGGTAAAAGAGTCTTCGTATTTAAGGTAGGCAATGATGGTTTAAATCTTCAAAAGCATAGGTCTGTCCTCCAATAAAGTAATAAAATTCACTAAGGTAATCTAAAATTTATCAGTATGTTCCTTCCTCAGTTTAAATATCGCAGATCGAACACAAGTTCTATAACCAAGTTATAAGTAACAGCAAAAACGAACACTTGAGCACTCTTAAGACAATGTCATAATCATAACAGACATTCATCAGTAATTCACATGCTGGCTCTCGGGATCACTTTACACTACACTGAAGTAACATCTCCCTGTCAGCACATCTGTAGCTAGGGACAAGTTTACGGGTAGCTATCCTCTAAATTATACCTTTAAGCAGGCAGAACTTGGCATCACATACTGTTTTAATTTAAATAAATTTTAAAATTTGTCATTTACCAGTATTGTCCTCAATTGTGCCAGGTGGTCCCTCAACAAAATATACAGCACTTCCGGGACACAATTTTAGCTTAATCGCAACAGTTTATGAAGCCCAGAAAAGCCTTGTGCCTAAAAAAAGCAAATATTGGTGCCTGGTTTCCTGTTCAAGCAGGCTTAATCTGCATTCGCTGCAGATGTGAAGAAAACGAAACAAGGAAAACTTGTGTTTGAAACAAAATACAAATTGATTAAAAATCCTTTAATAAAACCAACTGAATGTTAAAGCACCTATCTTTCAAAAAACCTTTATGAAAAATGAAAGAAGGATACTCAGAATGCTCCATTATGAGCACACAATAAGCTAAAGTTGAACTACACCAATAGTTTATTTTTTTTTTCCCCAGGGCAAAAGACAAAATGCAGAAGCCTTCTCTCATTTGTCAATAAACCGATTTTCACAAAAAAAAGGTAAATTCATACAGATTTTCTATTTTAAAGTACTACTAGCTAATTTTTAGCCTACAAAATAATACTATTTGCAGTTCTTTCATCCTCTGATGAAAATACAGGATAAACTATCATCCATTTAAAAACTTAACGTTGTGTAACTGCCATTTTCTTCTGATTAGTTCAAAATTCTTCATGGGATTACTTACATCTACCAGACTGATGCTCTCTAAGAATAAGAGATTAAAAAACCTTCTATTATAAAACTGAAATCAAACATGAAATCATGCAATTGTTTTCCAGTTTTGAAAGTCTGCTTCCATCATATTACACCTTGGCAAGATTCCACTGTGAATTAATACCAATTCTATTCAGCATTCATTAACGAACCACAATTTGTAGCACATATAAAAAAATCAATTTGTGCCTTTCTTCCAGTCACTAAAGCAACTAATGCACATGACAAAACCACCACTACGACGCCCTTCCTGGCAACTCCAGGCCGACCAAAAAAGCAACAAAGACAGAATTACCACATTACTTCTGAAGATTCATAAAAGGAATTGCAGGACCCCAACATTAATCCTTCAGTGTAGGAAATGTGGCTGGAAGACCACTAGCCTAACAGTTCATCAGAATTTCAATTTAAAAGTGTCTTCAGAACATGGATCCTGTCTTACAATTTATTCTTCATGAAATTATTATTTTCAGATTATTATAAAGCAGGTATCTCCAAGCCTGTGTACATTTTGTACATTTTACAGCTCATATTACATGCACACCCAGTTATTTTCTGCAGCAGAATCTGCAGCACAGAACAGTGTAATAACTCTTCTGCCTACTTTTAGAATCAAATATTATAAAAAGATTATGAGACATTGTGCTATTTAGAAAAAAATATCCCCGTGGCCCATTTCCTTTTGGCTCTCACCATAACCCATCAGAAGCTAAAATATTTTTGAAAACCCATTTTGTGGTGTATATTGACACTCATACGTAAGAATTCAGAAAACTCTTGGCTACTTAAAATTCCTTCTTGGAGGATTGTGTTATAGTCCAAACAGGAGGTCTCACTTAATTTTGAAGTTTTATATCCTTCTTTCCAGTGGTGGAGTACTAATTTAAGTAGGTACATATGTCATCAGCCCAGCTTCTCTCAAATTTCCCCTCTCACTGTTCTTTTGCCCTCGGGTATACCATATACCAACATTCCTCAACATTTATATCACAAACTGAAGGCTGCCTGGCCTCCTGGGCACCGCTATAAATAAAAATCACAGATCACCTTCTACCAGTCCATAACTCTCAATGTATGACTGCACGACTAGAACCTGCAGAGGCACACAAGCATCTCGCTTTCACCATTTAGAACAGACTGCTTAAACTCTCCTACATTAATTTCTATTTTTAGTTTCACACCAGCACCCACTCTTGAGTTCACCTCCTTTACAGTTTCATTGCAGCCTCCATATCCTCAACTACAAAGTCTAGACAAGACTATCAAAGTGGCATGCAAGGTAACATTTCCACGGCCCTCTCTCTCCTTTGACAGCTAATGCTCGATTTCCACAAGCAAGCATAAACCACGGACCGCTGGCTTACTAGAGAAAGTGGAACTTGCTATGAATAAATGACCATGCCATAGGCTTTGCACTATCCATGTGAAAACTTGATGAAGAAATAGAGCAACATGAGCCCTGCTCCTTAATACCTTTTAGCTTTATTTTACATGTGTTTTCCCCAAGCTTTGTGTATAATTATTATTTTTGTTTCATTTAGAGTAATTTTTTATTTGTTTAATTTAGAGAAACACTTCTACTTTCTGCTTTATTAATATATGGACATTTTGAACTTTGGATTAAACTTACCACAGGAGATGACTTTGGGGATCTTTTTCTATTAGCTAAGATTAAGAAACATACATTACTACTTACTCATCTCTATGAAATGATAAGAATATTCATAAAACTACACTTGACATAAAATGATGCCATGAGTCATACTCACCCCTCCTCCTCCTCCCCAGCCCCCTTTTCAAGCTCTACTATTTAAGCTGGCTCCATCGCTGCCAAGGGAAGGTAAGCAGTATCCCCAGCAATCTCCAGTCTTCCCTGCAGTTCCAGGGACAGCTTAATTATTGAGTGCTCTTGGGTTTTGCCTAGGCAATTACTGTCAGCTTCCTGCTGTAAATCAGCTACTCTCCAGTTGGTCATCTCTTTTACTGGCCATTTACTCCATTTACTGACTCCCAAGGGTAAGGGATGAGTTCAGACTGTCCTGCTTGT